GACGAGCGGCGGCCAGGATGGTGCTGGCCTCTGGTGGCCGGCCGGGGGATTGCCGGGGCCGGGCCGCCGCCGGGTGTCACCTGCTCCGAGGCTTTCCCGCTCCGTGCAGAGCGAAGATAGGGGTGCGTTTCACTGAGCCGAAGGCCGGACCTGGCCTTCCCCGCCAGCAGGGCGCCCCCCCGCGCCTCTCTCCCTTACGGGGAGACAGACCGGCGCAGAGTGCAGGTCGGGGCGCGCCAGCGTCCTGGCCTCAGGGGCGCAGTATTACTTTGCCTTTCGCAGACTTTATTTTCTTAGGTTGAGAAGTTTTGTACAGAGAATAAAACATGAAATTATTTATAATCTGGGTTTTGCTCCTTTGAGAAGGGGTTATGTGCTGCCCAGAGGGCAACCTATGGGCCGTCCCTACCCCCAGCACCCAGGCAAAGGCTTCCTATGCCCACCTGCTATATGGGACAAAATTTCCCCCCTTGAGATGTTATGGGAGGCCAGGCCGCTCGACCTCTAGTTGACCCAGATCCCACTGATCACTGGGCCACAGATTTGGGCTGTATCATATTGTAACTCCTAGGGCCCGGATGGTCTCAGCTGTTCCTTCTTGCTGCCTCTCCCACCTTCTACCCCTTCAGATCCCAGGGTGGCATGGAGGGACACTGTGTTCTTGGGGATCTGTTGACAGGAGGAGCTACAACCTGGGTCTCCCTGTGTGTCTGGGATGTCAGTCTCCCCTCCCGGACCCCTGTCCCCTGGGCAGCTGTCTGCTCACCTGTGGCCACGTGGGTATAGTCTGGGCAGCAGGGCTTCTGTCCTGTTCCTGCAGTAACCTAGAATCCCCGACTCCCCATTCCTGTCCCCAGAACCCCACCCTCCATCCCACCCTTTCCCTGAAGCCCCGCCCCTCCCCCAGGACAATCTGGTCAGAATCCACTGGCTGCAGAATTCCAAAACAATCGTCGTATCTTTATTGACTTTTTTTTCTGAATGCAATGACTGTTTTTTTACTCTTAAGGAAAATAAACATCTTTTAGAAACAGCTCGATACACACAATCTTCAGTGTGAAGCAATATACTAATAAGAACACTAGTCGTCTTAACATTTACAGTCTTCATATATATTATATATATGTATATGTATACATATATATACACTGTATAACGAGGCTGGATATAATACACACGTTCACCATTTTACAGTCATATGTACAGGAAGTTGCTAGGGCGGCCCCGGGCTGGGGCTGCGTCAGGCCTATCGAAGCGTGGACAGAGCTGAGGACACGGACGGACAGGCGGACAAACCGGCGGGCAGTGGCCCGGACGGTGGTGGCTGCGTGGGGAAGGGGGCATCGCTGGAGCCCCCTTCTCCGCAGGGCCCCTTGCTGAGGGGCGCACGACACACGGAGAAGCGAGCATGTTCCCAACATATATACATTCTATGTGACATATATATAGAGGGGCACACAGGTGTGTACGTGGATCTGGCGCTGTCTCCACTCCCGTGGGAGTGACGCTGCGGTCCCTGGAGGCGGGTGGTCGTGCAGAGGGACGGTAACGCGTCTGCCGGGGGTGCACTCTGGTCGAGACTCTTGCGCTCTGGGGAAGGGGCGGCCTGGAAGGGGGACGACCAAGCCAGTAGGGGCCAGTCCCGCCCACGCCCGGGGAGCCTGCATCCCCTGAGCATGGGACCCAGACTCTCGGCCCTGCCCGACCGGCACGGAGGTTCTGGCCGAGGCTGATCGGTTAGGGCATACAGCCTCCAGCTCCTCCTGCGCCGGCCTCGCCCTCTCCGGAGAGACTTCGGCTGCCCCCGCCCCCAGCCTCGTTCAAGGAGGGACAGCCTCTTCCCTGGCTCTTCGGACCCCACCCCACCCCAGGGTGCCCGGCTGCGTGCCACGACCGACCCACGTGGAATGTGCACCACGTCGTCCCGGAATTTCCAGGGGTGAAGCGTGTCCCCAGACTAGACGCCTTCCACCCCCACCCTGGCCCGGCTCCCCCTCTCCAAGCCGGGCCGGGGGATGGGGACGAGAAAGCCCTGTATCGTCCGGTTCCGGGAGCAGACGGATCCGAAACCTGCTTCCTTTCCAAGCCGGGACCACTCGCCGCAGCCAGAGGCGGCCAGATCCAAGATCCGGGGTCCGGATCAGGGATCGGCTCTGGACCCGCGCAGGGCGCAGCTCAAAGGCCCGGGGGCTGGGCAGGCGACTCCGCTCCTCGGTGGCGGGCGGGCGGGCTCCGGCGGCTTCTCCGGCCGTGGGGTGGGTGGGTTACAAAGGCAGCCTCTGCACGGAAGAGGAGAGCCGCGGCCGCCCGCTGTGGATGGCGTGGGAGTAGCAGGGGCTCCCTCCTCCAGGCCCGCCCCGTCGGCGGCTCTTCCTTCCTCCCGGCCCCCACCTGGGACGGCCCCGCCCCCAGCACCTGCCGGTCTTTAAGTAGTCCCGGCCCGCACGTGCCGTCGGCCCGGCCCCCGCCCCGGGGGAAGGCTCGTGATCACCTACCTTATGTTTGGGGCATTTCAAAGAAAAGTTCTCTTCGATGAAGATGCAACCTGTGAGCAAAGAGAAGTTTAGCGGTCAGGACAGCGTCCTATCCAGCTGAGAAGAGGGCCCACCGCCCACAGGCCCTAGGCTGCTGGGTTCTTTCCGAAGAGTAAGTCAGACCCTGCTTGAAATCCAACAGTATACGAACTCCACCCGCCCTCCAGCCCCACAGGCCTGATTGTCCTTGGCTCTCGCCTTCCCTCCTCTCTGGAACACCCCTTTTCCTTACGAGGCCTCCCCGGACTCTGCAGTCTCACCCTCCGCCCCCAACCTCCTGAGCCACACTTTGCTGGACCACACTGGTCACTCCCTCCTAGTGGTCTCTGCCCCACTGCAGGGCAAGCTCCCAGCCCAGCCCCGAGGAGGCCTTGACACCCAGGGGTGCTCAATGAACCCATGCTGATGGACTGGGCAGGGTGGTGCACTCCCAGGCTAGACTCCAGCCCCAGGTGAGTGCATGCGTGCGTGCGTTGTGAGGTCGTTCCTGTGAGGCCCTGAGGGGCAGGCTGACCTGAGCATGCAGGCAGGGGCGAGGAGGGGATGGAGGTCCCAGGTCTGAGTGAATGTTAGCACAAGTCTGAGTGAGCGGGGTTCTGCCCACCTGGTGAGCAGAGGATGGCTGGGGGTGGGGGGCCTTCATGGCTCAGTCCCCTGCCTGCTGCCACCGAGGGAGGCCCTGACTTTCCCCTGGACCCTCCACACACCACCCGCTGGTCCCCTTCTGGGCTCATCCCCTGCCTCCCCAGGGGATGCTGGCCACTGATCTGAACAAACTCGAAACCCACAAATAGCCAATCAAGTCCTTCTCCTGCTCACACCGTGGCCCGCAGCACCAGGGCAGCAGTGGCCATAGGCAGAGCGGGAGGGGAGCAGGGCTGGGGAGTCTCCAGAGCTGTCTCCCCTCTTGGCTACCCACCTCCCGCCAGAGCTGGGGCTCAGGCCTGAAAACTGCCGGTGGGTCTCTGAGGCAGACCGTGCGCTCCCTTTCGCCCGCTCTGGCGAGTCAGACGCGGTTCCAGGATCGAGCTCACACTTTCCAAACAGCATTGGGCGTAACCCCCCAGCCCGCTGTGCACTCAATGCTCCCACCCCTGCAGGTCCCACAGCCAAGGGCAAGGGGCTCCGGAAGTGAAGGGTGGGAAGGAGTGGCTCCAGAACCATCCTGCTCTGCAGCCCAGCATCCACACTGGAGGTGGGGAGGAAGGGTGGGTAATGCAACCCCCACCCACTCCCATGTCTGCACCTGGGGAACCGAGACCCAGCTGACAAAGTGGCCCTGGGACCTGAGGGCTGAGAGGCTCTGCCTTTCAGCGTGCGGGGGTTAGTGGGCCTGGGCAGCTCTGGTGCCCCGGGGCCTGAGGGCCCAGACCAGACACCTGTACAGCGCCCCCATAAATCCCTGCTTCCAGACCCCGGGTTGGGCAGGTGCAAGGTGCCCACAGGGGGCCAGGTGCCTGGGGACTCCCGCCTGCCC